TTCCCTCAAATAAAAAAGAATTATGAGTAGACATCATGAAGATATAACCTTTCAAATAAAAGACCAAAATTTTATGGACAGAAATCCGTAAAGAAATACAAGTATTTAGAAGCTAAAAAAATTGACCGTATTTTCATAAAAATTGTTGTTTCAACGAAATATGTAGTAAAAAATTGAAATAATTCATAACTTGTGACCATATATTGTCCAAATACAGTTATTTGATGAGTGTTGATGTATCTTTTTACAATTACTTGTCAGAATTACCTGTCAGATTGTTCTGTCTCGTTATGTATCTGTAGAAAAACACTCTGTTGTTCCATGATCCGACCCTGAGATTTGTAATCATAACTCAGACTCGATGGCGCATATATTCCACGTAGTTGCCTTGGCTGTATCAGTGTCAGAAAGTGACCGTCCTTATCAATCATCTGCAGCGGCTGATTGATTAAATCACACTAAGATGTGTGATAGTGCGTCGGTACAGATTCCGTGTTGTGATAGTCGTGATCCAGATGTAGATCCTGTGTAGGAGAAGCGATATCTTTCTGCACGATCCGTCACCACTACACCAATCAGACACAATAACATTGCCATTGTTGTTCTCTGTGGTGTAGCTAGGTGTCTTGTACAGTCTCTGACGTGTGTTGTCATGCTGTATTGTCTGTATGTGGTGTCCCCTGTTATTGTAGTGGTTTACCTGGCCTGTAACAGTATTTTTGTAATCATGCATCCCAACCAGCAGGTCTCCAGTGGAGGGGGAGCAGTAAACACAGAGTGGTTTCCATGGTTTTGTTTTCTTTATCAGTGTCGACTTTAATCTGTTATCTTTTGATAGTTTGTTTATGTAAAATCCCCTGTCTATGTAAATAAGATTACCTGTATTGTTTACCGTGTGTCCTCCATAAAGCCTATGTATATCTGTCAGATGATGTAGTTTATCACCATCTGTGTTTGTCAAGATGAGATTGTACCAATCACTGATCCAGATGCGGTCTGACGTCACACAAGAAACATGTCTAATATTATTAAGATCTGTCACTTTGAATGATTTATGCAACACAGGTGTAGACATCAGTTTCAGCACACAATCATTTCTTACTTTTCTTTTTTCTGTTTCCATAACCTGGATTTCACTCAGTAATTTAATCACATCCTCCATCTTTATTTCCTCACAGAGAGAGTACAGCATGTTGTGCAAGATAAGGAGTACCTTTTATCTTTGGATCAGAGGTTTTCTTAGGAATAAGAGAAATGTAACCGGTCTCTTTGCTGACTGTTCGGATCTTTGTTCATAGATCTCTTTTTTGTAAAGGTTTCTGATCTGTTGTTGTTTTCTATTCATAAAACGTTTGTGTCTTATTTTTACATCAAATATCACAGTGTCAATTATGTCCTTTAGTCTCTGAGCTTTTGCTGGCATCTTTGATTGACAGTTGTAGATCTCTTTGTGGCAAGTTTCTAAATCAGTTTGGATTCTTGATAGGAGAAAAGAACTGTTATAGAGATTCTAACTCCTGATGTTGTGGATGATTATTCTGTGTTGTTGACGGTCTGTTCTGTTTTATAAGCTGTTTTGATGCCCAGTATTTTGTGTTTACGGTGCTTTATCCACTGGAGAAAAAAAAAAGAAATGTTATCGGATTTATGTATTCTGTGCATTGTACACAGGCAGGTAGTTCACATGACTGACAGTACTTGTCATAAATCATGTCTGGATGTCTCACACAAGTCTCTTGCATTAGTACATTTTTATATTTCTCTCGATAAATCACAACATCATGGTATATGGTATCTAGATCAAAAACATGTCTCTCTTTACACTGAAGACATAGGTCATATTTACACGTGTTACAGTAAATTTCCGTGACCCTCTGACATTGGGAACACTGCCGTACTTTATACTCGGTACTCAATCCTTTCAAGTCCATAACGTGGAGGGTCTTTAGGTCTTTGAGAAATTAAGCTTCTGAAATTATATTACGATATAGATTATGGAAAAGAAATAAAAGTGAAAACAACTCAAAATGAATATAAATACATTTGAAATGTTTGATATTTTAAAGATATAATTATTTAAAAACAAGTTTAACAATACCTGGTAGTGGAAAGCTGCTTTGATGTCTTGTAATTTGTTTAATTGATGGAGCACTTGTCAAGGTCTAGCAGGGCGAGTCCAGCAGGGCAAGTTACAGTATTGATCAATTCTGCCCAATTTTCCTCTTTCCTGTAAAGATACACAACAAAATATCTCTGGCTTGTGTATCGGAGAATTCAATGACAATGTCATTAATGTCAATGGGTGGTTACAACTCTTTTTTTCAAATTTAGATGTAGCTATACATGAATTTGTAGTGAATGATAATGATATCAATATGTAACGTCGCCGTAGCGTTCCAAGAGGGTTAACTCTAAATTTTCAATCCTCGGAATAAAATACACTGAAGTTCGTTTAAAAGTTTATTTACACTATTTACACATAATATTAAAATCACAACAACATCCAAGAATCACACATTAATTTTCCACAATATTTTCACAATATGTTAAAACGTATATCCTATATGTCAACTCCTTTACTTCTCTACTACAAGTCTCTCTGTCTGAAAATATCCCCCCTATATATAACATTTGGGCATTGCTCGCGAGGAGCAATGCGTTTTGACCATTACATAATAATTTAGCATTGCTCGCGAGGAGCAATGTTATGTAAACAACTGACTATCTAAATATATAATAACGGAATCAAATATAAACAAACATAATGAAATCATTAAATATCGTTACAACTTCCCCCCACTTAACTTTTGACTCCGTTCAAAAGGAACTATTCACAATCTTGGGGGAAAAATATTAAAAAACATCATTAACACAACAATAGACATGAAAAATATAATTACACTTGACCCATTGAAACATAGAGTATAACAAAACTTTCTTCCTGTCTTAAAGCAATATAAACATGATCTAAAATCACATTTATAATTTATATTTTCACAATTATTTACAAAACTTTTATACACATTCAAATCATAAATGTCCCTTCATAAGTCTCACATTTACATATTCATCATTAAATTGTTTTGGCACTTCATCCAAAATGTCTGTGGCTACCGCCGCAAAGTCAATGTCTTTAGGGTCGATATCCTCTGAATACACGATTTGCGAATCCTGCGATATTTCTTCTGTCCCGCAAGGGTCGCATCGTACGGTTCGGTTCATGACTAAACGAATGGTTGTCTTTGTCACGGTTACCGTACAATTGTTGTTGACATCTGTTTAGTCTCCTGTCTCCTCTGCAGAATCCTCATCACTTTCAGTGTTCTTAAGGAATGACTTTAATAGCTACCCAAGTTATACTGGTATAACCTGGGTGGGAGCAGTTTACGCTTAATAAACCGCGAATCGGTTTTTAAAAAAGCTTAAACTGTTCCAACCCAGGTTATACCAGTTTAACTTGGGTAGCTATTAAAGTCATTCCTTATAATTTAATTTCCCATCATTAAGTGTAAAAAATAAAACAATTTCTCCTTCAAAAATGCCTTTAAATTGTATGTATTTTAAATGTAACGTCAAGCGGATTGATACGTTTTTGACGTAAGTCATTATGACGTAGGCAACCCAGGTTAAAAGCTATATTCTAATTTTTTTATCCAATCAAATGACGCTTTACAACCAAAATTAAATTATTCGGAAATAATCACATGACGCGTATCCTCAGCTTCTTCTGCGTTCTCCGATATCACGGTTCTTATATCACAGAGTCACTTCCTCCGAGCAAGTTGTCGATGAAGTCGAAGTCTGTAGAATACACAGATATCTCTTCTAAATCGTCACTATCGATTAACTGGTTCACCGGTTCACTACGATCTTCTTCATCACTGGAGATGTCTTCATATAAATGACTAAGAACATAGACAGGTTTCTGCGTCTCTTCATATCTCGCTTTTTCAACTTTTCTTCTTTTGTGGTCCATGTCTTGAACATTTGAAGATTGGTGAACTGCTTACAAGTGTCTTTTTAGGTTGAATTTTCTTAGAAAGAGTCTCTGGCAAAATGAACACTTGTATGGCTCTACATGATTTTCATGTTCTTGTTGGTGTTGGTTTAAATTACTTCTAGTCGAAAACACTGTCCACAAATTTCACAAATCATCTGGTCAGTTACTGTCTCTGAAGCGAACTGGCCTCTTTATAACACATCCATGTCTGGTAGTCTTGGTTCTGGCTTCTGATTGGTTGTAGGCAAGTGATTGAACATTCTGGGTAAGACTATGGCGCGTGTCTGCCGGCGACTTCAAACGTTTCCTCCTCGCTGTCGCGCGTCGCTCGGGGACACGTGCGCTGACTGTCTGGTCACTTGTATATTCCGTCGGGGTCATGGGGGTTTGTTTATTCCCTCGGTATGGCTTTAAGTTGTCTGTATGAACGATTACGGGTTTTGAAGTTTTTGAATGTCGAATTTGGTAGAGTACATCACCTAATCGTTTCACAACATACCAAGGACCAGTCCAATTTCGTGCTAATTTTGATTTCGTTCCCTTTATTATTTGTCGTTGATTTCTCCTCACCAGATCTCCAATGTCGTAATTTACTTCTCGCACTTTTCTGTCATAATTACGTTTTTGACGATTTATGTCTTTTCCTGTCACACCTCTTACAATGTCGTATAATCCACAAAGAGAATTTTCCAGGGTACGCACAAATTCTGCAGGTGTAGATACACGCTCTTCTTCCCGATTAACATTTTCCGTCAGTAATTCAACAGGTAATCTCATTTCTTCTCCAAATACCATTCTGTATGGCGTAATCCCAGTCGTATCATGCACTGTGCTGTTATATGCGAATACAACTCCATCTAAGAATTTATCCCAGTCATTTTTATGTACAGAAATGTACTTTGATAACACATTTTTCACAGTTCTTTTTTAACCGTTCAATCATTCCATCTGACTGAGGATGATAAGCGGTAGTGCGCGTTTTGTTTATCTGCAACATTTTTCATAATTCCTGGAATATCTGGCTTTCTAATTGTACACCTTGGTCCGAATGTAATTCCTGAGGACAGCCATATCTCTTGATCCAGCCTCGGAATATATTTGCTACTGTCTCAGCCTCAATATCGCGAAGAGGAAATATTTCCGTAAACTTGGTGAAATAGTCCGCAATCACTAAAATATACACAAATCCGTTGTTTGTTTTAGGGAACGGGCCAGCTATGTCCACTGCTATTCGCTCAAATTTCACACCACTGAGATACGTTTTCATGTATGAACGTTTCTTCTTACTTGGATGTTTTCGTTCCTTACATATATCACAAGAAGTCACATAATCATGTACACTTTTCCTTAGATGAGGCCAACAATATTGACTTTTATTCATTTTGTCCAGTGTTCTTCTGACGCCCATGTGTCCTCCTGTTTGTGCATCATGGAAATTCCAAATAACATTGTCCCTAAGACTTTTCGGCACACAAATCCGCAAGCGCTCACAATCACTGTCAATCCATTTGATACATAGTGCGCCTTGTTTTACAGTTAGTAATTCCCAGCGAGCATATAGGAACTTGCTTTCAAATCCTCTCCTACTATCTACCCTGGTATTTCTATATTTTCTGTAATATTCCTACATTCCATCATTTATTTCAAACATTAATATTTTTACTTTAAAATGAAAATAATTATATACCTGAATTCAGCCAATCGGGTAACGCACACTATTCAGTACTCTATACTACTTTGTGTAACAAACAAAACCACGTGTACATCCGGGGATTTGGCACTCTCATTCCTATACTTACATATTAACCTATCCCAGAAGTAGTGAATTTTGTAATTTTCAAAGACCTTATACCTACCAATGTTTATGTGTGAAATTTGAGGCCTGTTACTTCAGTGTCTTGGAAACTGTGACCATCTTAATTAATGACACCTCCCTGCTGCAAGTAGTATTCCAGGGAATGAGTAAATTTCATTCCTGTGATCAGACTTGGATATAGTTGTGACTGTAATGAATAAAATATTTATACAATCGCATAGTTTTGTTTTTAGATGTTAATAAAATGATAAAAAGTTACATTTGTGTCAATATTTTCATAAGGGTGGATTCCAGCCAGAATTTGAAAAAAGGCTCCAAAATTTGATAAATCATGGCTAATTAAACAAAATTGAAAGTTTTTAAAATGAGTGATTCAGAATTTTTTTGAAGCTTATGACAAGTAAATAATTTAAGACTCTGATATACTAATTGATTCTTATCTACACCCTCCTGCTAAATAAGTATGTGCAAAAAAGTTTCACCACTCCCCAGTGAAAGGTACTTAGAGAAAAAGCAGGTGCCCCCTATTATATTTGTTTACAATTAATTTAGACAAGAGCAAGTTTATCCTTTTGATAACAAATTAAAGTTTAGTCTCTTTAGTCTTAAACAGTGCTATTCATAAGCTACATTATTGAAAGTTATGCCTAGAAAAGAGGAATTCAGGTCAATTTTAAAAAAATCAAGAAATGCAATAAGTATTACTTCAAACCCCAAAATATTACCATACAATAATAGGCTGGAAAGTTAAAAGATGAAAAATTTACCTGCAATGTACAGAAACTTTCCAACAAAAGACATCAGGTGGATAGTGAGTCTCCGTCTTCTTCTTATCTAGAGAAAATGGTCATGCGGATCAGGCACCAACCTCATCCGGGAAGCTGAAAGATGAAAGTCCTCTATAGTGCTTAAATGAAAATGAATCAGAAAAGTTAGTCAAATTAAGCATAAAGCATTAGTGAAACAGCAATATTTTTCAAGTTTTCTCAAAAATTAACAATTTACATAACTGCTACTAAGCTGAATATTTCAAAAATGAATCCCCCAAGGGTGGGGTACATGTTATAGAATATTATTTGAATTACATGAGTTACAGAGGGTCAATCTGATGAAACAACAGGCAACAAGAAAGGGAAAATAAAGACCTTTGTGTAGCTACAACAAAGAAACAATTTAACTACAAATCCCTCGACCTGCAGTCCAAAGGAAGCAATCCAGAGGATCACACACACTACCAGACATGGGCTGTCCAGACAGAAAAATGTACTCCTTTCACATGACCACCAAAAAAGGCCCTTTTAAGGGTCACCACAATTATTCGTAAAGATACCGAAAGTGCAAAATACATACATATACGAGGAGTTATCAAAAAGTTCGTGGACTGATGCGATAAAATTAATACTATGTAGTCTGTGCTCACAAAATTTATAAAAAACATAAATCAACAAATGTTTAAGAAATGTTGAAATTTTTAGCTTGATACGTTGATTATTTGCCAAATTATTCTAAAATAAAAAAGACATTATATGATCACCCGGCGCTGTCGCCATTTAGTTTCATGACGTCCGACAACGTCATTGTTTCTCAATGTCCACTCCGTCTACCTTATACACTTATCTTGATGTGATTACCTGGAGTTAAGTAAGGACTTAAGTCCATCTTGTTTATGTGACTTTACAATGTCATGAACAGCTGCTTTCAATGCATATAATATTGTAAATGTATCTATACATAAGGAAAGATCCTCACTTGATTATACCAGAATACTTAGCTTGATGGAGTTCAATTTCTACCACAGATGATCAACGTCACTTTTCGACGTGACTGATTTTTGACACCCTCACTACAATTGACTTTAACTGTGCATCTTTCATCTCTCTGAATCTGTTTGGCTATTTAAAACGAGTACACTGGATGTGTTTTATTTTTCTGTAGCCCGTTTAAACATTCCCTAGGTCTATACCAGTTTTTCCAGGTGCGAAACTTTAAAGAATGTTGGAAACAGTAACCCCTCCCCCTTTTTGACGTCATTTTTGAACCCTTTATTGTTTGTACACTCCATATAAATTTACGATAAAATTTCATAGAATTTACAGAATGGGGCAAAAATTGCAAATTTTACGGAACAATTGTGTTGTACCACATGCCTGGATTAACCGGATTTTTTGACGACAAATGCTCATATCAAAAGAGTTTTTCTCAGTTACACTCAGGTAGAAAAAACGTCATATTTGAGGTTGCGCCGCTTGGACATACCATTGCTTACAAAAACAATAACAATTTATTAAAAAAATAAAACTTATGATTTATGGTTTATTCTATCGATAGAAAAGATGATGCTAACTAAATGTATTAAAATTCATTGATGTACCTAAAGCGGTTTTAATTTTATGGCGCTAGTCCACGAACTTTTTGATAACCCCTCGTATTTATACATACATACAAACATTCGTCATTAGAGCAATCTGATACACTTTCTTAACTTACTTTCCTCCTCTGTCTATGTAAACTGCACAAATCTATACCAATTTCTACTTTCTACTCTAACCCCCCCCCCCCGCTCTTTTTACAAAGGACACAATTTCCTTCAAACCCCCACCCCCAAAAACTAATGAAGTTTTTTGCTGTTTTTCCTCTCGGTATGTCTTCAATATTCAAAAAAAGATAAAAATAACTTTTCATGACTTTCAATTTACTAAACATTGTTAAAGTTGGAGTCTCTATAGGGAAAAGAGAACTAATTATTTTCCCATAGAACTCTCTACAAACCTTTTGCCCTCTAAGTCCTCCACAAATTCAAATTCAGACAAATCCTAGGCACCATTTGTAACTTCATCCTAAGCGCTTATGAAAAAAGCCCCGAAAAGAATATAGGGTCCCACGGCGTTTATAGGTCAAAATTACAGTTGTTTACAACTGATAGCGATAGGCAGGAAATGATACTGCCAAAAATATCAACCCCTAGTCTTACAATCTCCCCTGGTATTTCTATATTTTCTGTAATATTCCTACCTTCCATCATTTATTTCAATGAGTAATATTTTTACTTTAAAATGAAAATTATTACAAACCAGAATTCAGCCAATCGGTTAACACACACTTTCAGTACTCTATACTACTTTCCATAACAAACAAAACCACGTGTACATCCGGGATTTGGTACACTCATTCCATCAAAAGCGTGCCTACTTAAACGGTTCGTATACATATACGTACCATCAGAATCAATGCCTTGGGTTAGTCCTACAATGTTAGGGTGACCGTCGAAAGCTTGAAGGAGACACTCCTCTGCGGCTGTAAGGGGTGCTTTAGCTGGGCCACCTCCAGTTTTCGGGCGTTTAAGGGCATCTGTTTTGTCTTTAGCTAAACACACACAAAAGAAAATAATAAGTTACTTACAAAAAAATGGAATGATTGTCTATTGATGAGATAAATCTCTCTCTCCCTCTCTCATCGGGATGTGAATGCGCGCATTAGTTCTATGGATTAATGCACATGAATAAATTTATTGCAAAGTTTATGAATTTTTATTTTCATGTATATTTATGAACAAAGTACATACACCGCTGCTTCATGTTATCGTATTTCTTCGAAATCGTCCGTCTCTGCCGTTTTTCTTTTTCATAAATTTTTCAAACTGCCTACATCGAATACAAGAAATTACTCACGTGCGTACTTTTTAGATATATATTCATATTCTTAATATATTTTTAAACAAAACGAAGCATAATAATCAGATTGAAGCAAACAAGGTACGAATAAATGTTTCACCTATGGGGAGATATTGCAGAGCTTGTCGTCTGGTACTTAAGGTTGAGGGTATATGCTTACCGTTCAATGTGTCGGCAATACCCTGCCAGATTTCATCTGAAACCCGCATATGTTTTCTTCTCACACCAGAACCCTTTATTTTTTTTTAAAAAGTTGATCTTCATATTTTAACAGTTCCTCTGTTCAATAAATTTCTTCTTTGGTCGACCAATTAGCACCCTTTGTTTTCTTTGGTATATTTGGAATTATCTCATCGGTACCTTTAACAAATTCAAAAGTGTTTTTGTCAATAAGGCTTCAATGTCAATTTCTGCCATATTTTCTACATTAGACGACAAATTTTACTGCGACAACAATAGCGTAAAAAAATCCGCAAAAATGCGCGAATAGTTTGTGTCTCACCTCAGCTGAGTTGAGAACATTTTTAACATCAACTGAGGAAACTCTCAGAGGGTTTGGTTGCAGTGGTTTAAGGAATTTTCTCATTTGAGCGAACCTGAAAAATTTGAGGAACAGTATTGAGGTAGAGGAATTTTGGTGATGGCGGGCCCTTTTCTGTGTACCCCGAGTCACTGACCAAATATCAACAGCTCGGAATCTCTTTCAGAACTGTGACAGTTTTCATGGAACGTTTCGGTTTTGTACCAAGTAAAAGTAGCAATGAAACAAATGAAGGATTAAGATTTCGTGTAAAAAGAGAATAATTCTGATATCTGTCATGAAATTAAAAGAATTCAAAGTAATTTGACTATGCTTTAAAATAGTTTAAAGCATAGATTGTATACCTTAAGATTGTTGAAGTTGAACTAAACAAATGAATTCAATAAAAATAATTAATGAATAAATTAGAATAAAACATTTATTTATTCAAGACATTTCTTTATTTTTTTTTCTTCATTTATTTGTTTATTTTAATTATTTTATATATTTATTTAATCTTTTTTTTAATTGTTTTATATTTATTTCCTTATTTATAAAAAAAAGGTTAATTTATTTAAAATGCTTATTCATTTATTTGGATTTATTAATTATTTAAGGTATTCAATGTATAATGAAGTGAAAGTGAGCAATTTTGAATCATTTTAAGCCAGTTAAATATGCATTGCTATATAACTATATGAAAGTGAAATGAACCAAATTCACATGACTGATAACATACATGTATAAGTAGCCGGCCATTTTTCATCTTAAACATTTTTGAAGAGTTATCTGCCCTTGATAAAAAGAGGAAAATTTCAATTTTGTCAAAATTTCTGCGGTAAACAATTAATTTTATTTCATATTTTAATAAAGAGAGAGTTTATGCATATTTTCGCCAAGAAATTTGTATGAAGTTCAAATTACTTTTTAGAATATCTTGATAACACATGTGCTGCCCATAGACTTCAATGTAAAATTCAAGGTGCAATTAATTTGACAGTAGGGTGAATTCACCATGCATCGGACACCCTTGCACTTCAACAAGTTCTAGCGATATCGCTACCGACCGAATATTATCAAAATGGGACTTAACATGTAATATGTGGTTAAAATATAATTTTTTGACACAATCGTGCCTTATTTATTGAGAAAATATCATTAAAAACCGATTTTTTGGTCCATGGATCGAACAATGTTCACAATGCATCGGACATACAATATTTAAACCAAAAAAATATCATACCTTGATCTCGGTGCTTTGAAATTTTAATATGGAAACATTTTTATCTTTTATTTAAAAATTAACCTTCTAATTAAATTTGAATGACTATTTCGATCCACAAATGTGAAGAGATTTTAGTTGCAATACATCGCCTTAGAAAGGCTTTACAATGCTAGTAATATGGCAACTCGTGCCTTTGTCTCGTGGGTTATGATCATCTAGTTTAAAGAAATAAATTGAGTCCACTTCTAGTCGTCATATATCGATAATTTGTATTTTCTCTGAAAATTTAAAGTTCCTATTTTCTATTTCCGTGAAAAACAGCTGTCATTTGGGTTTTACATGAAAATGGAAGTGAAAACCCATGCATCGGAAAGTGTCCAATGCATGGTTAATTTGTGTCCATGTACGGTGAAATAAACACACTAGTCAAAAACAACTCTAAAATATATTATACAAATATTGAATTAAAATCATCAATTATTGGCAAATTTTACCAAGGTCCGACCCGTTCCGTTGACGTCTATTTGAAAGAACTACAACTCTAAAAATTGCAAAATCGTAAAATTCTGGTTACTCCCCTTTGATAATGTAAAATGACGTAATTTCAAGGCCTTTCTTGTGGTATTTTTATCACAACATGAAAATAAAAATCGACATCATTAAAAAGTTTAATTCTTCATCTTTAAGACAGAAACAAGTAAAAACACGGGGAGACTCAGGTTCAATGAAAGTTTATTGCTTGAAGTGTCTGAAGTAAGGTATGTGTCCGATGCATGGTTAACTCACCCTAATCAAAATTTTGCAAATTGCTTTGGTGGAGTATTTTTATTTGATAACACCTTCAAAATGCTACGTTGATTAAAATCGGACCATTCATTTATTAGGTACAAAATATGGTCGTTATACATTGAATACCTTAATTCAATTCAATTAGTGTAGTTCAACATACACAATCTTCGGGTGAATCAAATTATGCTTCTTTTAAGCTTATTCACATTACTTTTATTATATTTTTAATTTCATGATAGGCATCAAAATCATCGTCTCATTACATTACACACAATCTACATCTGAATGCGGAATTGTTTTATTGCTACTTTTACTTTGGTAAAAAAAAAGTTCATCAAAAACCTGTCAAGGTTGTGAAAGACATAACACCTGCAGAGTGGATACGTGCTACCACAGAATTAACAGTGTATAGTGGTCAGTATAAAGGACAAAAGGTATCTGGACTGTGTACCCTGCATCACTTGAAAACTATTAATAGCTCAGAATTACTTTCACAACCGTGCCAGTTTTTTTCTGGAACAATATTTTTGTACCAAAGAAAAAGAAGCAAGAAAACTAATTCCAGTTTAAGATTGTGTGTAATAAAACGATAATTTTATACCCATCATGAAACTAAAAGAAATTAAAAAAAATCAATGAATTAACAAAATAAAAAATACGTAACTATAATTGTTTAATTTAATTATAATTGAATATAGCAAATATGTAAAAAGAAGTGAATAGATCAAATAAATATATGTAGATAAACAGATTAATGAATGAATGAATGAATAGATGAATGAATGAATGAATAGATGAATGAATAAATAAATTGAATAATTAATAAAAATATATATATATTTACATGCCATTCATGCTACACAAGACGCAAAAAATAGTAATTCAATTTTTCTAAAGTAACTTGCATTTATTCTCCTTAAGATTTATTTGAAAAGCTACATGTACCAAACAAAAATAATCAATACAATCATATTAAGAAAAAAATTACGAAAGATATATCAAACAAATAACTATTGACTACATCTTTATTTTTACAAGACTGGAGAATTGCCAAGATTAAGGTTTTTCTCACAAGTAAATAGCAACATGAAAATATTTTATCCCTTTTCTTGAGTCAAAATGAATGTCAGAGGACGGCAGGAAGTGGACACGGTGGTCTGGGACTTAGTTAAGGGAGATCAGGGAGTTGACAGGAACGTCAGAAAATGTCAGGGGTTAGACAGTGGTAACAGGGGCAAAGTCAGGGAACCTCAGGGAGTGGACAGGGTAGTCAGGGACAACGACAAGGGATCATAAGAGAAAGTCAGGGGGAGGCAGAAAAATTTCAGGACTGACAGGGATAAAACAATAACGTATCGTTGTTTCAAAATTCTTTTATTTGATATAAAACATTGAATTTTGATAAATCCTTGTTTTTGCATTATTCTGAGAGAAAACAATTGAATGTTATTTAATCACAAATTAATTAAGATTGTTCATGATGGAAGTCAATGATCGACAATTTAGTCTTACCTATATTTTTAATAAATCTGAAACTTTTCTATACGCAAAGAAGAGGAGACTTAGAAAGATACATATATAATTTAATGTCAAAATTCGGTTCATTCAATACAGGGAATATAATTTATTTCGGAAGAAAATACTCTATATTACAATATTTTTTTAGACCATTTGAATTCATCAGCGGACTTTCCATACACATAAGAAAAACAGATTGATTTCTTTAAATTATACCCTATAGCATGTGTTTATGGAAAAAAAAATAAAACAAGTATTTAAACAGATTTTTTTTTGGTAGCGAAAATTCAAAGGCTTGTGCATAAGCTGTTCATAGTGCTCGAGTTAATACGAGTTAATATTTTGTTTTATAATACCTAAAAGTGTAAGACTCATTTTTCTACACTATAACCAATGTCGTGTTTAGTGATTGGTGTTTGGAAACTTTATTTAACAATGTAAAAAAAAATCAGTCTTGTTATATCAACTGAAACATCAGATCAAGTCTGTGACACCATCATGTGTAGTGTTTATAATATATACATTCCAAGTTGAATTCTCAAAAGTTCTTAATGATGCCTAGATTGTCTTTTCCTATGAGGTCCATATAATTGTGGAGGTTGAGTATGCCTACAAACAACATTAACAATAATGTGTTAACATTTAATAATATCTTTCCTTTAACTATTTAGAATTAAGGTCAGGATCTAGATAGTAAATGAATTTAGACTGTCTTTATGGTGCTAAATCCATTATGTCGTCATAATCAATTTCAACTTTCTTTTTCCCATACCTTACGGCTCAAATAGAATTATGTAGACAATAAATTATTTCCATGGAATTCAATTTGAAATCATGTGAAAATTATCCCGATACCTATATTCAATTTTTTTATTATTTTAAAGAGGCCAGGAACATACAATTTACCGTTTTCTGAGAGACTGTAGGCAATCTGGATACATATCCTTTGTATGATATGGAAAAAAATCCCGTATTCATGACTGGTCTTCTTAATTTTTCATTACAAATGACAGCTTAAAATATGATTTTTCATTTTTTTTTACCTACAAATAATGCCCCGAAACACCTTATTTGACCAAGCTAAAGTTATAAAGCATCATTTAAGGAATTTATTTCTCAAAGTTGAGAAATCTTTAGGCACCTTTCATTCACTAGATCTTGACCTTAAATACAACCTCAAAAACATAAATAATTTTTCTTTAATATAGTATTTATTCTTACATTGTAAATTAAAATCATCTGTAAAAACTGTACAACAGCTCTGTTTTGATTTTGTTTTCTGCGGGATTTTGTATTTCTCTGTCCACCGTTTCTCTTAGATCCTCATCTTATAAACAAAAAAAAATCTACATCGGTTTATGCTGTCACCAAGTATCAACACGTAAAATGTAGTTTTCATCCAAAGGATTAGATAAATAAATTGTGTTAAAATATATTGTCTGGTAGTGATAAAAAGAATCTACAGAGCAGTGATATCATTTCGTTTTCTTTCAATTCACATGCAACATGTTTGATACATGTAATTAATTATCAATATATGGCACATACTTTTGGGTATTACTGCTTGAATCAACATTACTTATCACTTAAACTTAATTTCGTTTTGTCTTCATAAGGAATAAAAATATTGCCTGCAATTTAGCCCTGCAACTGTATGTGTGTTCGGATTTATCTATATCATGAATAACAGTGACCTGTCAGATAGTCTTGTGTTTATATATGTATACTCATGTCTAATTAATAATATAAAATTACCCGTAATATAATCCCGTCGAGTTATGTATCTGTATACATACAAAATATCGCTATCCTTTGAACCCACCCAGAGAAGGTTAGTATTGTAGTCCAAACCCAAGCCACATGGTTTCATCTGATGTTGTGTATGTATCTGTGACAGGAAGTTCCCATCCTTATCAATCATATGTACTGTGCGGGTGTACTCATCAGACACAAGGATGTTTGACAGCGCGTCTGTACAGATTCCATATGGTAATAGTCGAGGTTCTGATGGACATCCTGTGTAGGTGAAGCGATGCCTTCCTCCTCGATCTGTCACCACTACACCACACCACAAGTCAGACACAATAATATCTCCATTGCGGTTCTCTGTGATGTAGATAGGAGCTCTATACAGTTCCTGGCCTGTTTCATTGTGCTTTATTGTCTGTAGGTGTTGTCCTTTTTTGTTATAGCGCATTACTTTACTTTCCCATGAATCAATATTATATGTCCCAAGAAGTAAATCTTCATTGGCGATGGAACAGTAGATACAATGTGGTTCCCATTCGTCTGTGTTCTTTATCACTAAAGAATCTGTTTCATCATTTAACAATTTTCTTATGTTACCATAATAGTCTATGTAAATAACTTCACCTTTAATGTTAACTGTGTGTACTCCATAGCTCTGCGTAGGACTCTGATTTTCACTCCAATGATAACTTACTACTGATAAAAAAGTCATGTGAACAAATTTGTCACCTGTTGTATTTGCAAAGATGAGACCTCTACCATCACAAATGCAGATCCGGTCTGATGTAATGAACGAAATGTGTGTTACTCCCGAAACATGCATCATATTGAATGATTTGTGTAACACTGGTGTAGACATCAGTTTTAGTACACATTCATTTCGTACTTGTCTTTTCCCTGTCTCTATAATTCGGATTTCAATAAGTAACTTAACCAAGACCTCAATATTGGTTTCCTCAGTCAGTGAAAGCGTTATGTGTTGTAATAAATTGGGAGTGTCCTTCGTTTTGGGCAAGCGGGTTTTCTTAAGAAATAAGAGGAACTTTACCGGCCTGTTTGCTGATTGTTCAAAGCTGTCTTCATAATTCTCTATGCTGGCAAGGTGTCTGCTCATTTTTCGGATCAGTTGTTGTAGTCTCGTAATGCATAAATATTTGTATCTGGCTTTAACATCACATATGACAGTGTCAATAATGTTATTTAGTCTCTGGGCTTTTGTGGACATCTTTGACTGATGTTTGGAGATTTCTGTCTGACAAGTTTTTATATCAGTTTTTATTCCTGTCAAGTGAAAACAATTATTATAGATAGTGTCACTTCTGATTTTTTGAATGTTTACTCTGAATTGTTGGCGGTTTTCTTCATAAGCTCTTTTGATGTCAAGTATTTTGTGATTTCTGTGTTCTGTACATTGAAAACAGGCAGGGAGTTCACATGAGTCACAATACTCCACGTACATGTTGTCTGGATGTCTTGCACAAGTTTTTCGTTTTTGGATGCATTTATACTTTTCACGGTAAATCACAACATCATGATGTTTGGAAAGTAGAGCAATTACATGTCGCTCCTTACACTGCAGACACAAGTCTTGATTACACGTGTTACAGTAGAAACCTGTGGTCCCTTGACATTGAAAACACATCCGTACTTTATACTGGGTGCTTGATCCTAAACCCATGATTTAGAGGACCTTCATTTTTAAAACACAATATCCTGAAAATAAATAGTAGAAAATAAAGAAAGTTTTTTTTAAAAGGCTAGCTTTTGATATGAATTTTTTTATTTATTCGTTATTGATTTCTTATTCTTATCATTTTAATTTCTATTACATGTATTTATAATTTTGAAACCATTTTAGTGCCTAGGAGGAATAGGCATCCTCAGGCGATTGGTCACATTTTCCACGAACCTCTAGTTTTGATCAAGTACACACAGTGTTTCCATGATTTAAAAGAATGGTTTATATAAAATTTGTAGGAAACATGAAATATATGGCGATAACGAACAGTATTCGAGCTCAAAATACCATTAAACATTACAAAATAGGAGCAGAGCAAACACGGACCTCTAAGACATCAGAGGTGGGATCAGGTGCCATGGAGGAGTGAGCATCCCCTGCCGACCGGTCACACCCGCCGTTTGCTCCTCGTCATGATCGGGAAAAAGAGAGGTTGAGATTTTAAACTTGTACGCGTACGTGTACGTGTGCACAAACTTTGACGTACACGTCTTTTGTAATTTGTCTTTTGAGATTTTAATGACATGTAACATGAACGTGTAGACTGCAATCGGTGTCACTGTTTCAACTATTTAGTAGTTTTGTGACATTAGTTTGACTTCAGTTAGTGAACAAAACATGGTTAAAATAAGTGTTCTTGAAACGTAACATCCTAAATAATGAACAACAATAACAGTTTTACTCTTAAATTGACTAGTCTTTATTGAAAAAGCTAGAAGTTTACATCTACGTGTAGATACCTTTTTACAAGTTGTACAGTGCAGGGAACTAATTATTTTGTTACATAAACCAGCATCAGCATAAGCATTAGTAGCATCAGGATCGAACTATCATCAGGATCAGCATTTAAAAAAACAGCATTACCAGGATCAGCATCAGCAAGCAAAGGATAAAACCAGTATTGACCTACATAAAATCAGCATTATCCTACTAGCATCAGAAAATCAATGAGTTTTAATTCAGTAAAAAATTAAAAAAGAAAGAAAGAATATTGGTTAAAGTATTCACATTATTGATACATAGTGAGATATTATAATTAAATGATAGTAAAAGGCACTTTTATTGCTTTAAACGGCAATGCTGAAATTCATTATCTACTTCCGGTAGCATGATGCTACTTCCGGTAGCATTGACCTAATTATAAAGCAGCATCAGGATAAGGATAACTAGCATTAAATCAGCAAGCAAAGGAAACATTCAAATCAGCAAGCAAAGGAAGCATTCAAATCAGCATTGATGCTGTAACAAATTTAGTTCACTGCACTGTAGGAACTTGTAGAAAACTTATCAACACCAAAACGGATGACGTAATACGCAATAAATTTAGGGAATCCCCCTACTAGACGTACCCGTACACGTATGAAATCGCAACCTCTCTAATGACGGAAAAATCCGTCGACAATTCAGTGTGTAATTAATGGCCTATACAATTAGTATGAAAAACGTCGCTCAGCATTTGACTCAATGATATATTGTATTTGCTGACAAGGTCATTATATTGACCATAGAACTTACGAAATGATGATTTTAAACGAGACTGCTGATATTCTTGTTTCATCAATTTGTTTGTCAATAATTTAGGCTGTACAAAGTTAATTCTAAGTTTAACGTCAACTCTAAAGTTCAAAATCTACGAGGTAGGGAGGAAAAAAATAAACAAACAAAAATTTTATACATTTGTGAATTCATTCAAATTAACCTATTCAGTACGTTAAAAAAACACTGTTGATTAATAAGAGTATTGAATATGACATCTATGACTAATTTCCTAAGGAGAGTTTTTCCTTAGTTTGTATATTGGTTTGAATCTTTTTGTGAGCAAACAATGTAGACTGAATGTACAAGAGAGTGGTTTTTAACTGGCCTCGTTTGTCCTTTGTATTTATATTGCCACGCGTCCGTGGTATCCTGTAGGAAAATGCTTCTTCTTGTGGGAATAGTTGATCGATATCTACAATTAAAATTACGTTGAAAGTATGTAATACATTCTTAAATTGAAAATATCCCGAATTTGAATTCTGCAGTATTTTTACTCATAGTACAAGATCTACTAGACTTTAGTTTGGAAAGTGTAAATACTGTATTTGGACCAAAGCCGTTAGATTATTTACCTTGAATTCTACACACATGACAAGATATTTCACTTCATGGAATACCCCAATCAATTTCCTTACTCCCCTTCATTTGAAAGGCCCTATCTTCTGTAAGCTTCTCCCTGCTCAAATGGCAATGACTAATATTATTTTCCCCTAAAATTGTAGCCATTTGTAGGTACATGAATACTACATCTATGAAGAAGTCAATAATCTTAATGTTCCTTTAAATTTTTACAGAAATATTTTAAGATGAAACTATTAAATAAAATTTAAATGATGCATCTCACTGTATATTATTAAATCATTGTTTTTGACACACTTTGCACTCCAAATACAATGAATATTCAGCCAACATAATTACGAACTGAGAGTCTGTGATACGAAGACTGACAAAAACTCAACAAACTAGACTTTGTCATTAACTTCAATCATAAAATCATATATTTTTTACTTACATTTATGATCCCATACTGTTTAATTCACTAATTTTCTTTTAAGAGGGCTGGGTGGTCGTGGCCATTTTTAGACTATATTGATCTCCTTTAGAAGAAGAGCTCCATATAAAGATATTCAAAAATGATCAAATTTTAAGATTAAAATGCATGAATTTTTTCTTTGCCAAATGATAGTTGACAGCTTAAGATATCATATCTAAAAAAATAAGTTATATCTGATGGTTAATTTGTTGACCCCCAGCCTCCTTAATAAGACACCAACTGCGATTCCAGAGCACATTTTTTGTCACTACGGGATGCAGAATTAAGTCGCTAAATGTAGAACGAAACCGGAACGGATATATGAAATTCCAAATTGTTTTTTTTTCTCAAAGACGGATTTCTCCTAAACCTACGCGAGCGGGTGACGTTAAACGTAGAATTAATGTTAAACACCCTTACCTCGTTTTAGAAATTGTACATACGTAGAGCATGCTCTTGCGTATCGAATCAACTGAGAGATATAAACCTCGTATGCAGGTGATGAAGAAATATTGCTGCATAAGTAAGGGAAGTTGAGGATTGAAAAGTTAAAGTCATCACGTTTATCATAAAGCTTGGTTGTTAGATTACCATTAACGTCTTTTTCAAGTAAAATATCCAAATATGAAACAAATGTGTCAGACTCTGTCATATCTTTTATCTCAAACTCACCAGGATATATCGTATCGACATAAGAATGGAAATAGCCATTGTTAATTGACAATACATCGTCGATATATCTAAATGTCGAGTTGAAGGCCACAGCAAGTGTTTTCTTCTTTTCACGTACAAGATTTTGGACAAATTCTGCTTCATATGAATACAAAAAAAGGTCTGCTAATAACGGGGTACAATTGGTACCCATTGGAATCTCAATAGATTGTTGGAAGACATGGTCTCCAAAAACCACTTAGATATTGTCAATCAGAAACTCAAGCATATTTTAATGTCAACTTCCAAGTACTTGTGTGTACAATTAGAATGTTTTTCAATAAAATAATTTTGCAAATGACCAATGACAAGGTAAGTAAATTTACGAGTTAGGTTTTTATTGAAAAAGCAGCTGTCAATGATATCAAAAAGCCTGGACTTTAATTTATCGTGGGGAATGGTTGTGTATAAAGTTGAAAAGTCGTAAGTTTTTAAGCTGTTGATTTTGGTAAAATCTTGTGATTTCAAATTTTCCAAAAGTTCCTTGGAACTTTTAAGTATCCACATCTGGTTTGCACCACTTCTCGAATATATTGTTGCACAGTACTCTTGAAGTTTCTCCTTCACTACTGTTAATATCTTAGTGAGGAGTAAAGAAAGAGGCTTGGTTGAACATTTACTGGAACCCGCTATGTATCTTTGTTTATAAGGATTTTTATGAGGTTTCGGAATCCAACATAGATATGGTAATTCAAATTCATTTTGGTTGTTTGGAATATTAAAAATATTCAAAACAGACATATGATTTTGAAGAATTTCTTCCTTAGAAAGGGAACTTTGAGTATAAGTTGGATTACCACTTGTAATATCAGCCCAAATATGAGCACAAAATAAGATATATTTGATAAGGTAACTAAACCAGTGTTAATCAGATGTGGATACTTAAAATCTCCAAAGAACTTGGAAAAAAATGATTTTGTAAAGTTTTGGCAGCTATGTTAGGCCTTCCAAAAACATTAAATAGCATTCAAAACATGTCATTAAAGACCTAGGGGCTTCAAGGACTTCACAGAAGACCTTATAGTGATTCTACTGCTTTTTATTATTAGGTCTTCCGTTCACAACGGAAGACTTTTAGTGATTCTACTGTTTCTTCTTATTATTATTTTATTTATTTTTTATTTTCTTTTTTCTAATTTTGTGCACGCGATTTCTTGAATACTATTGGAAGGATTTACATGAAATTTTCAGGAGATGTGTTGTAACCTGAACTTAATCTGTCTGAGAGAAAATTTGAAAAAGTGGTTCCGGTGCCAAGTTACAGACCATTTTCTGATTTCAAAATGAAATTTTATCCGAGGAAAATCTCAGGAACGACAAGAGATATCAATGTCAAACTTTCGGTGATTATAGATCGTGATAGATACTTGCCTGATCGCTGCTTTTTGTTCGTCGTCGGCGCTTCCGGTCGCTGAAGGAAGTGAATTTCAAAAATCGATCAATCTTTTTATTTTTCTTTGAAAATGATAGGACAAATTAAAAGCCTTATGAGAATGCAAAATACATAATTTGTTCTAAAACTTCTCAAACCATTTTTTTTTCTTTTTTCTTTTTTTCTTTTCTTTTTCTTTTTTTTTCTTTCTTTTTTTTTTTTAGATATTTACCTCTTAAGATTGCCAAAAAACGTTGGGTTTACATTTACACTTTATCTGTTAAA